CTACCCCCTGGGCAGATCCAGAAGCGCCTCCAAGCTGGTTCCCTACTCCCTGGGCAGGTCCAGAAGCACCTCCAAGCTGGTACCCTACCCCCTGGGCAGATCCAGAAGCACCTCCAAGCTGGTTCCCTACTCCCTGGGCAGGTCCAGAAGCACCTCCAAGCTGGTACCCTACCCCCTGGGCAGATCCAGAAGCAGCTCCAAGCTGGTACCCTACCCCTTTTGTTGGTCCAGCTATGTCCCTAGCCATATTACCAAGCTGATACGCTACTCCAGAAACAGGCCCAGGTATAACCTTAGAGGTACCACCAGGCTGACATCCTACCCCCACAACTGTCCCAGATGCAACCCTAGAGGCACCAGCAAGCTGATATTCTATGCCTTTGACAGGTACAGATGCACTACCAAGCCGATATCCTATTCCCAAGAGGGGGGCAGGTGTCACTAGAGGCTCCACCAAGCAAATGTCCAGAACCAGGAAAGCTATGAGAACCCTGAAAACCTGAGGATTCAGAGCCCGCCCACTGGGTAGAAGCTAACAGTGACCCCGTTCCCAGACTGGATGCATAATTAGCCACCTGGTCAGATGTAGCACTGAGCTGAGGGTAACCATACAAACTCTGGGAAACACCAAGGTCCAAGCCAGAACTGTAGCTAGGCTGGGGGCCTGTACCTAGGCGTTGTTTAGAACCACCCTGAAAGCCCAGCCATTGAGTAGGACCATCAATTGGCAAGGTAGAACTAGAGATCATTTGGGAACCAATTCCTTTTATAGAATGAGCAGTCTGAGAGCCATAACTTAATGGCTCTTGGTGTTGAGCAGATACAGAATTATAAGAAGTCTGGGTTCCTGGGCTTAGAGCAGAACCAGAACTCCAGGAGCCCACACTCTGTGTGGGATTAGACACATAACCAGGCAGAGTACCCAGTTTTTCAGCAGATCCAATCCCACCCAGGGAACCAATGCTCTGCATAGTATCGGAGCAGGGCTGGGGATAACCAGAACTTCCAGAAACACATCTGTTTGCGGCAGGCTTAGGAGTAACAGGGTTATAGTTGCTAGAGCCTGGCAAGTTCACCATCCAGGAGTTACTAGAAGCAAGTTTGACTGAAGCAGAGGTAGAGCTTTCAGGGGAAAGCCCATGTAGAGCAGAACCATAGACATTTGGGGACAGCTGGGCTGGACCAGGCTTAAAGCTCCCTAAGCTAGCTTGACTCTGGGAGGGGCTCAAGTTGCCAGGAACAAGGCCAGCATGGGGGCAGTCTCTTGGAGAAACAGCAAAGCCAACATCTGAAAATTTGCAGAGATCAGACCATCACAAGTAAGTAAAAGTTTACATACAACAGGAATTGCTATATGCCCATTTCTCCTCACATGTACTAACCTTTTTGTGCAAAAACACAGCACAAAACTACTAGTAAAACCAAGTAGAGTGCCCTGAAAAACAAGGTAAACAAAAGCTAGTGACACTGCACACAGGCCACAGTTTTAAGTAATGTCATTTAATTGTTATAATGTCACACTTACTTTAAAGCACCACCAAGAGCCATTGACCTGGCAACAAAGGAAGAGACAAGCAGGCCAAAGACAATTCAGCAAGATCAATGTTGACTTGGTAGCCACACTTCCTGAAATAACAAAGCTTTAGCAGTTGGTATTCTTCTACTTGTAGCTGTTTTCCATAGAAGCCAATTAGTAGCAGCTGGCACCAATGGAAACCAGTAATTGACCAAATGCTCTACCTTCAGACCTAACAAGTATTGTTAAAATTACTTCAACTCATTATTAAGGCTGAACTATGTGCTATGCTTGTTTGTATGTATTTTTTCATATGTAACATATAATTAGGCATTTTCTCACATGAACTTGTTTTTGAGGAATTTAATGGAAAGTATTCATTTCATTACTCCTCTATAGAATGCCATGGTGGTGCTTTGGCGAGCATGGTCGCCTCACCCATCTGGAGGTCAGAGTTAAAGGCCCTGTGGTCTGAATCACAAAGTCAGTTTCCTTGCTTAGTTGGATAACTGTGAGAATAAGTAGTAGTAACTCTGGCTTTTCTATATTACGACGCTGGTTCAGTATGTTTGATATTCAGTCTTCCAGCTGTAATGGCTTTCAACAAGCAAACCAGGCAGTTTTTAATCACACACCCTTTCATGTCCACAGGCAGAGATGCACACCTATAATTTTTGCATTTCCTTTGCTGTGTGCTAGGATGTGTGCTAAATAATAATTTTTTTTTTAATTTCTTGTCTAATTCAGTGTCATGGGAGGTTCAGAGCCTATGACGGAGGCTACAGGGGCAAGGTAGAGAAAAACAAAGGATGGGGCGCCAACCCATCGCAGGGCACACTCACACACTTTTCATTCACACATGCATGCCTATGGGAAATTTGGCAACTCCAATTAGCCTCAGCACATTTTTGGACTGTGGACCTGGAGGAAACCTCATGACGACTTGGGGAGAACATGCAAACTCCACACATATGGAACCCGGGCAGAAACTTGCATGCAGGTCCGAGAGGTGTGAGGCAACAGTGCTAACCACTTCACCCCCATGCCACCTCTGTGTTAAATATTACAATTTAATAATGTTAGTATTAATACATTTTAAAATAGTATAATATTAATAAATTAATTTCTGTTATTTGTAATTAACATTTATTCACACATGCATTTCGTTCATTAGGTATTGCTGTCTTACAGTCACTGGAGGTGATTGGACACAATGCAGTTATTAAAAAAGATAGATAGAAATACATAATCTGACAAACAAGTTTGTGTGCATGTATCCTCCCTCCACTGGTTTCCTATAGCTGCCCACATCAGATTCAGAACATGATGGTGCTCACCTACAAAGCCAAAAATGGACCAGCACGCTCGTAACTAAAAGAACTTATCTCACCCCGCACTGCACCACGCTCTCTCAAATCCTCCAGCACTGCTCGACTGGTCCCACTGTCTACCAAGGTGCAAGGAACTTCGGAGGACATGCATCTAGACTCTTCACTGCCTTGGCACCTATGTGGTGGAACGAACTTCCCCTAGATGTCCCAACAGCTGAGTCACTGGGTGCCTTCAAACGACGACTAAAAGCCTGCCTCTTTCAGAAGTACTTGGATTAGCACTTCCAGGTTTATACTCTTATTATAAAAGAAGTATTACTTGCCCACAGAGTTTTTGTAGAGTGATAGTATTCTTAGCTGGGTTTTACTGAACTAGTATCAGAATGTATTCACTGATGAGACTTCTAAGCACTTATGCAAGACACTCTGGCTAAGGGCGTCTGCCAAATGCCATAAATGAAAAAGTACCGCACGGCCCATTCCTTGAAACTACACTTTACTCAATATGTCTATCTCATTTAGTTTTGTGGTCCATTTATTCTACCCTTTCCACTTGAAATGGTCTAATTATAAATGAACATGGATGTCTCTCTCCTAAAATATGTCTGTATCTTTGTTGTCTTTCACAGCCACATACCCATGCTGTGTTTGTGTGATGGATGAAGGAATATAGCATGGGTTTTGAAGGGTGTGAAGTTTATTTAATACTGAATAATAAAAATAGGATGATAAATATGAATAAAAAATTTATAATTAAGAATACCACAAAGCACATGGAAAAGCACATAGAAATTAAGACAATTATCTTAACGACAATCAAACTGTACGTATAAATTTTTGCTGACAGGCATCTGCCACATCATGCCTTTTTAGCTTTGGCAGCAGCTATGGTGTTGCTCTTCACCATTATTTTACTTTAGAATCCTTCATAGTTTACCGCAATAATTCTCTGTTCCACTGCATTGCAATACATAGCCCTGTTGCGATTCATGCTTTAATGACTGGCTAATCTGTAAATGCTCTGGAAATAATCTTGATTTAAGTAAGAAAACCTGGCTTGACATAGATTGCTCATAGTCAGTATCATGAACGGTAATCTAAAATTGCATTTGTTTGGTTTAGTCAAACTGGAATTTATCTAAGAAACCTGACTTCACTGAATCAACTTTGTGATATAAGCCCCTGGCGTTCGTGTGGTGTTTGCATGTTCTATCCGTCTTGTCATGGGGTGTTCTCCTGTTTCCACTACAGTCCAAAAACATGCTGAAGTGAATTAGAGTTGCCAGACCCCTGTTCTGGGTTATCGAATCCTTTGCTTATGTTAGGAATATATTAATTAAAAAATGCATATCTCTGGCGTACTTTCCCAGCCAACTCTCATTTTTGTTTGCATGCTGTCTTCCCGGAGGCTACAGTGAGCTTGTTGGTGGCTGGAAATTGCTGTTGACAGAATAGGCCTATTATTCCATACATGTTCCTTAAGGCTTATACAGGCTCGAGTATACCTGTCATAGCAATTTAAAGCAATAGGGCACAAGCAAAATGAATAACAAAAAAAAAACACTTTTGCGTACCAAACCTGGGACTATCTATTCATGCTCAAGTATGAAAGTACATGTTAGCAATAAACACATGTTATTGTGTCTATTGCATCACCCAAACACTGCAAGTCTGCATCTTAAAGGCAAATCTAATGTGGAGTTGCACATATTGAAAGGTCTACATTTGACATTAATACATGAAAGCAACTGTGTTTCTAGCTTTAGATTCAAATATGACTCCCAGAAATCACTCGAGGACCACTTGTCCTATTCAGGGTCA